AGGATTTAGAAGTATGAGTGATCTAGTTACAGCTTCCACAGGATGATGCGTTGTCGTCATCATAGGTCACGGCTGATCCTTCTCTAGCAGGTTTTGAACTCCTTACAATCAGAAACCTTGGAGTGGGGCATCTGCCTAATCATTGAGATATCAATTAAAGCAAATTTATTTCCTAGATCTTTTTCAGTAAATTGAGAAAACTATCATTTTTATTTGTTTATTTTTATTTTATTGTTATTCTAAGAGGTTTGAATAGATATCAGGCTTCACATTCCTAAGTCTCTGTTCTGAAAATACTGTTTGCACAAGCAACCCTCAGATGCATTGGTCTTTCTGTAGTAAAGTACAAGATGCCTTCATTGTCTACAAGACCACAATCCCACTCCTTGCTCGAGCCATTCTTTTGTAAAGATACAAGGAGGACGCAGTATTAATGGTGGGCACTATTCCTATTTGACAGGTATCCATGAAATATATTACACGTCAAATTTTTTTATTGCTTTGGTATTATCACTGCTTCTCACAGTAGATAAAATAATTCAATCTGGGTACATTTATACAGTACTATATACTTTTGCACCTTCCAAAGCACCTTCAGATAGCATCACATTGTTTTTATTGTCAAGGAGAAGCCAAGTTATTATTCCTGTTTTATCTGAGATAATATCGTAAGGCTACTCAGTGAATGTCACAAGGCAGAGGTGCCTAAATCCCTGTACAATGTGCATTTCAAGGACATTTTTTCTGTAACTGAAAATAGTATGCTTTAAAACATAGCTTTTATACTCCCTAGCAGTGGCCATTTTAAATTTTTAAATCTACTAAACGATTTTGTAAACATTTTTGCCATGAAGGAAGGCTAATTTTAATTTTCTTATCTTTTATTGAAATGTAATTCATATATCATGCAATTTATGCATTTAAAGTATATAATATCTTCATTAAAAAACAAAAGGAGCATTACAAAGTTTTTACTGAAACATGGTACGTGGAGTCATTGTGATGATAAAGCAACAGGATCTGAGCCAGAGGAGCTGATAAATTTTAAATATATGTACATCAGGTGGACATATTCATGCTTCATGGCAGAGATGTAGGAGCACTGTGGCCTTCTGCACCAGACACCCTTCCTGCCCGTCACGTCCCTCACCCACCATGCTCCTTGATTTCTTGGCTTTAAAACGACATGCTTTCAGTTCACTTTGCAGTCACAGGCTGAATACTCCATCAGATAAAAGAATCAACAAATAGACAAAAAAAAAATCACTGTCCTTCGAGGGTATAAAAAAGGTAAACAACAATCAAATCTCAAAATGCCTATTCACTCATACAGAACATTCCTTTGTACTCTGTATTAGTTACCACAAACCAGGAAAATCATATGGTATTTGTCTTTTTGGAACTTTGCTACTTCACTAAACATAATGGCTTCCAGTTGCATCCATTTTGCTGGAAAAGACAGGATTGAATTCTTTATTTATGGCTGAGTAGTGTTCCACAGTGCTTAAATATGACATTTTATTTGTCCAGTCATCAGTTGGTGGGTACCTGGGTTGACTCCATATCTTAGGTATTGTTAGTTGAGCTGCTGTAAAAATGGTGTAGAGATCATCCTCTCATCTTCAGTTATTATTTTACTAATTAGGCCTTCTAATCCATTCTCTCTTTCCACACTTAGAGGAACTCCTAAGAGTCACGTGTTAGGTCACTTGATATCTCATAATATCCCATGAATTGCACACTCTATTTTTGGGTTTTCTCATTTCTTCCTCCTCCTCCTTTTCCTACTTATTCTTCTTCATTTTTTTTTTCTGTGATATTTCCAAATATTCATCTTCTTGTCAGACCTTCTGCTTCACAATTTTTGGGGTTTTTTTTGTATTTGTAGATTTATTTGGCATATTCTTCATTTCTAATATTTTAGATTTATTTCTCTTCAATATTACAATCTCATGGGGAAACTTTTCAACCATGCCATATGGATTTTTTCGTAATTCATGCATTTATTTCTCATTTTTGAGTAATTTAATGATCATTTTTGAAAATTGATTTTGAGGTTTTTCATCAGTTTCTTCATCTTTGCATTTTAACAAATGCAAAGCTGGTGGGATGGTAGGAGCTGCTCTGCTGGTATGATCTCTGCCTTACCTCCCCTTTCCTTAGGGGATCAGTGCAGGGAGAGATCGCAGTGGGAACACTCCCACATACCTGCCAGTCCTGCCTGTATGATCTATGTGGTTCTCCATGTGAGCACAGAATCTTCTGCAATGATGCAACCTAGGCCTTCAGTGGACTCAGCTGTGAAGCCAGGCACATACACAGGGATCACAGATGCAGAATCCCAGCTACGCTCCATGCCTTATCATGCTGTCACAGAATTCCCAGTGTTTCAGGGAGCAGGAGAGCCACTGTCAGCCCCGCAGGGCATCCCTAGAGCCAGCTGCTGTTGATGCTGCACATAAGATGTTGCTTCCTCTATATTATTTACCTTCTGCTTTCCCAGGCCACAAGCAGGAAGCTGGATGGGAAGTGGAGCTGCCGGGATTAGAACCGGCGCCCATATGGGATCCTGGAGCATTCAAGGCAAGGACTTTAGCTGCTAGGCCATGCTGCTGGGCCCACATTAGATTGCATTGGTTCCCTTATTTATTCTTGATGAAATAACAGGATCCCACTTACTACTTGGCCAAGAGCAGATACCTATTGCTGCACCATCTGTCACAATAACTGAAATCGGGACTTTTAGTTTGAAGTCTTTGGAGCAGTGTGTCCCAAAATGTGATCCAAGTAAAAGTGGTCCCATGGGATGCTCCACGAATAAAAAGTCACATATTGCTCCACAGGGATTCATAATTTATTCTGTCAGAATAAGAACTCTGAGAAGTCTTAAACTAAGTAAATCTGTTGTTGCATTAGGTTTTAACTAACAGTGCCAGTGACTTAAATATGAAAGCCTTCCTATTGCTTCATAATGGGATTGGCATCCAGGAAAATAGAATTATACACCACGAAATAGTACTTTATGGCCTTTTTGGAGCAATGTTCTTTAACTTAAATAAAACTTGAGCATTACATGGACGTAAAACCAACTCCAGAGTCAGATTGTATTTTACTGTTTGAATCCTGTTATATCCTCTTTATTAGATATTTAAAGTGCAATGATAAACCATGTAGTTGTTCTCAACACAGCAAACATTTAGGGGAAAAGTTCTTGGTAATGTTTAGCATTAGTTAGTTCCCTGATACAGAAGTTACTAAGTTTTCAGGGTGAATAGGTAGACCCTGCAGGCAACTTAAGTATCTTCATTATTTTACTTGTCCAAAGTGACAAAGGGAAATATTTTTAAAATAAGGAAACAAATGTGACCATACGAATATTTTAATTTGTGGCATAATGTTATTTGTCTACAGCGCTTGTAGAATTCTGTGCAACTAATGAGTGGATTTCTTACGAAAGACTTGCATGTAAAGCATAAAGTTCTTGTTAAAACTGGGGAGAGAATGGTGGGCCTGAGAGGAAGTTTTCTTTTATTTGGACTAACTTGTCCCACAAGAGGATTAGGAGGATTATATTTTAGCATCATGTAAAGCCATTAGCCTGGACCCCAAAGCATATGTTACAAGTCTACATGCATTTGAAATTACAGGTATTAGGCCCACTCCCTGCATTCATCAGGGTGGATCCTCAGAACACCTGAATTGTTGCTGCTTCACCATTCCTCCACCATTATCAGGGAGAACTGAGAGCATTGTGGCTGGGCTGAAGGTTTCATATGAGCAAGTCCATGTTCAGCCATTTATATTCTAAACATTCACTGCAGTGTTACTAGAAATAAAGCTCATACTTTCCAGATATAGAATTCCCACATCCATGTTAAAGTTGGTTATGAATGTAGGTTGGGTAAGAGGGTCAGTGGTGAAGTTGACAGCAGTTCTGTCCTCTAAGTTCCTCGCGGTACTTTGCTTGTCCTACTGTGTGATGTGCTGCAAGCCAGGGATGAGGCTTGAGCAGTCCTGAAGGAAGCACTACAGAATGGCACACTTGGGTCTCACCCTGCGTTTCCTGGTAGTCTATTCATTCCAGCCCTTGAAATTCACTCCACATGGGAAATGTGCTGGTCCTGATTCTTTTTCAATAATTTGTTTTCTTTAACTGATTTTGGAGATGGTATTCTGTGTTCTGGGAAATTGGACAAGTAAAATATAGTTGCTCAACTAGAATGACTTCTTGGTTCACATACTATTTTTAATACATAGTAATATTGATTGCAGACTCACAAGCAACAGTAACAGACTAAATGTTCAAAAGCAAACTCATGCTACATTTGTCTCCTCTAAAAAGGCAAATGTTCCATTTCTGATACTTATCTCTGCTTGGTAGACACTAAGATTTGTTTAGTAAGCACAATAAAGGAATTTTATATCCAGCTTCCTTGAGTTGGTCTGTGAGGACAATTTCCTACGAGCTCCGGTCATTGGTGTCTTTTATGAAAGTCAGATCAAGGTATACAGTATATCTTGAAAATGACATACTTCAAATTCCACCAGAGTCTCCTACAGAAAGGAAGCAGACTGTATCTGGGCCACAAGGACTATTTATGCCAGGATAGAGGCAGGCCTAGGATCCCTGGCTCACATTTGATTTCCTTGAACTTGTCTATTCCAATCAGGCACACTAATAGATTTGGGGATGCAGGAATAGGAGAAGGATGGTGAGAATACTCCCCAAATGGGAGCCAATCCATGAACTATCTTACATTAGAAACCACTCAAGAGATAAGAACCCAAGGATAACTGTCATGGTTGATTTTACATTGACTGCTTCATGGAATCCTCAGAAATTTGGTTACATTTTGTGCTGGATATGTCTGGGAGTTAATTTCTTGAAGGGAGTAACATTTGAATCATGAGACAGAATAATGAAGATAGTCCTCACCAGTGTTACAGACCTGAACAGAACAAAGGACTGAATAATGAAGAATTTGTTGTCTCTCTTCCAGGTGGAGCATCAGTCTCCTGCTTTGGGACTCAAGACTCAGACTAGAGCTTACCCCCTCCTTGGTCCTGCTAGTTCTCCGGTCTTCAGACTCTGATTAGAACTGGGTCACTGGATTTCCTGGACTTCCAAGTTGCCAACTGAGTCAGGTAAGCCAATTTTTTTATCATCTATCTTCCCATCAAGAGACATGATTTGCATTTTATGGTCTAAATTATTGGGAGTGGTATCATCAGATGTAAATGTTACTTGAAGTTTGATGACAGAAAGTGCCCTATTCTGATTATCTTTCATTCTCAGTCATAATCTAACCAAGGCATCGTGAAATTCATGCAGAGAGAGGATTTGTAACTGTCCTACTTGTCAATATTAGCATCTTAGAGTTAATTCCCCTAGTTCTTGCCCAAAATCCATAGAAGTTGAGGAGAACCTGAGTCCTGAATTCTTCTCTTTATTGGTTGATTAATCCTCTTAAGGATTTTGAAAGCAAAAAAAACTGGCCTTCAGTTTAAAGCTTGTCTTTTTCTTAAATTTGAATTGAATAATGATTAAATGTGCCAAATATTGTAAGTCCTAAAGAAATTCAGCTTTATATAAACCTATATTGTTATACTTTCCTAAAAGATATATATATATATATATATATATATAACACCATGAAATCTTCAAACTTCAAAATAAACCTGTCCTTCTTTAGAAATATCTGTACAGCAAAACAAGGGACCAAAAATGTTTCTTCAAACAAAACTTATTTCACCCTCTCTCCTCAAACTTTAATAGAGTGCAGGATCAAAAGCAAAAATCAAAGGTCCTTAGAGTGGCATCATTAGCAATTCATGTTGTTACCTAGCAATGTGGTGTTACCAGAAATCTTCGATATTATGTGGTGGAGGGACTTGATTTTGATTTTGCATCTGTATGAATTTCAATAAAGTATCAGTGCCAAGAGAGGTAATACACAGTTAAGATTTCATAGGTAAATGGAGCTTCTTGCAATATATTTTCCAGCTAAGAACCACTCTTGCAACTCTGCTTTCCCTCCTAGTGTATGGAGGGTCTTATAGTGGGAAAAAAAACATGTAAAGGAAACAGATTGGTTGAAGGATTGGGAATAACAGTCAAGCTTTCCATTCTCCATTAGGAGAAAAGTAGCTGTAATTAAGCGAACTGGGTATTGGATGTGACCTCAAAGTCTGTATCTTTGGGACTGGTAACCTTGTGATGATCACTCAATTTCCCTGGCATTATTTCATCACCTATCAAAACTGATCATATTGACAAAAGAGTAGACACGTAGATCAGTATAATTAGACAGGTCAGAATTAGGTGTACACAAATACAACTACCCAGCAAATAGTTTTGCCAAGGAAGCAAAAACAGCCCAATAAAGAGAGCAAGAAAGCATACTCTGTCTTTTCAGCTTTTTTGTGATGCTGCTACCATTGAGAATCATCATGATACCAAATTTATACCATACACAAAAATTATTTCAGAATGGTTTATGTATCTAAGTCCATATACCTAAATGAAATAAAATGTTGTAAGACACAACATAGGAGAAACTTTGAGCGATGAATTTTTAGATGTAATACTTTAGATATCAGTACTGTGATCCATGAAAAAATATGAATAATAAACACTTTTTAGTACCTCACTCATCTCATGGCAATTTAAGAACAAAGGAGTCCCAAAGACTTTTCAATTTACAACATATCTGATTCTGTATCTACACAAATAATATCAAATAAATTAAGTATGAGTCACAATTTCTGAAAAAGACACAAATGAAAATCACTAGTACTTTAGAGCTAGACACATAGAAAATTGTTCCAAAATATTTTACCCCTGAATTCCAAATTCTTAGGTGAAATTTAAGATGAATGCTAAAAATTATAAAGTCAGCAGTATCTGTTACTATTTTTTCTCTTTTGTTACAGACACACACACACAGAGTGACTGAGTGATAGAAGTTTTTTGTCTGCTGCTTCACTCTCCAGATAGCCAGGGTTGGACCAGACTGAAATCAGAACCAGAGCTTTTTCCAGGTCTCCCATGTGGATAGCAAGGTCGAAAAACCTTGGCCATTTTCCACCATTTCCCCAAGCTATTAGCAGAAAACTATATCAGAAATAGAGCAGCCAGCACATGAACCAATGTCCAAACTAGATGTTGGCATCACAAGAGGCAGCTTTACCAGCTGCAGGTCGTTTCTGGACACTGGTTTCATGCACAATGGCGTATAGGGGGTAAATCTACCAGCCCTGAGCACCTGCATTGATCTACATAGAGCCAGAAAGACTGAGTTTTTACTAGTATATGTCTAAAATTTCTTCTTATAAAAAATGACTTTGTCAAAGCGTTCAAGTGAGAGACCAGGAGACAGAGAAAAAGAAGGTCTCAAAGAAATGAAAAAATGGACGCCAACATGGAAACTAAAACATCCATCCAGAGGATGACATTGTGGCAGATAGGGTTAAGCTGCCACCTTCAAGGCCAGCATCCCATACTGCAACACAGGTTCTTGCTGCTCTGTTCCTGATCCAACCCTTGGCTAACATTACCTGGGAAAGTAGCAGGTGATAGCCCAAGTGCCTGGTCCACCGCATGCACGTAGGAGAGCCAGCTGGAGTTCTAGGCCCTAGGCTTTGGCTTGATCTGGTCCTGATCATCGTAGTCAGTTAAGCAGTAAACCAACAGAGAGAAGATTAATATTCAGTGTGTGTGTGTGTGTGTGCCTGCATCTCAAAATTAAACCTTTTATAAAATATATATCAAAGTCTAAGATTATAAAGTAAATTTGAACTGATATTTCAAAACTCAAAGGTTAAAATAGAGGAAGAAAAAGAAATTGAGGGAATGGAAAGACAGTTATCTTAGAAATGTATTTATAAAATACATGAAATCTATTCTCTTCACATCAATGAAAATTAATTAAAACGATGAAATAGTGTTGACAGAGATATTTCTCTCTGGCAACGGCCCACATAAATCTAACAATTTTAAAAATGAGCAATCCACTCAGATGTTCAGAAAAAAAATAAGCCATTAGAACATAGACGGTATCTTCTAAGGCTTTATGAATGTGAATAGAGGTGTTTTAGGAAATGCTTTTGGAGAGAACTGGTGATCCCAGAGGTGAGCCATAGAAAGGGGGGATAAAGCCAGTGATTAAGCAGAGTTACTGGGTGGAGCTCACAGCAAAAAAAAAAAAAAATTAACTTGAACAATGACACAAGGTCTGTGAACAGTGCCTGGGCTATCATGGAGGAGTCCTTTGGGTAAATAAGGGAAGAAGGGAAGAGGACATGAAAAGGGAAGAATTAAATTGATTGTGGCACGGGTGTGTTTGCTGCCAGCATGCTCCATCCCGAGCAACTGAATGAAACTTTACTCATTTTCAATCCCTTTGTCCGCAAGTGATCTCCAATGCCCTTGTCTGCCTAGGGCTCATTACACCAAGGATCTTTCCTAACAAAGACTTCAGAATTACTTTTCATCCAGCAGCTGTGACAAAAAAAAAGCTGCCCTTGTCCCCAGATGTAACTGGGGAAAAGGAACCACTTTAGTATCTCATGTTTGCAGCTGGTGCCAATGCAGGCTGGAATCAACACAAAGGTCACACACCTTCTAATCTTTTATTCCAAATTGATCCCCACAGATCTGAAGTCACCACTTTTGTTCTTGGGAGCAGGCGGGGGAAGGGGGGGAACGTAAGTCTTACAGCAGGACAAAAACAGATCTTTGCTTTCAAACTCTAGCCTCTAAATGTAGATTCTGGGTAAATATGTTCTTTTCTTTCACCAGTAATTCCTCCCAATCATGACAGTGGCCAGGAGAGATGACTGTAGGAAGCGGATATGCCTCCAAAATAGTCAGCCTGTTGCCCTGTGTCTGGAGTACAGTGTTCTTTTTAACTTGGCTATCATCACACCGTAGGAGTGTCCTCCAGATGCTAGTGTCATAGCCTATGAGGTGTAGCTTGCTTTTGCACCACACATTTCTGTGTAATTGCACATAGTGCTTTATTTATAGAATTGGAAAAAAGTACTTAAATCTAATTACATAGTTGGAAACTGCATATCTCTAAACAGATGTTGAATAATTAAAAAGAAATCCACTGCATATCCATAGAAACTCTCTAAAATTTGCAACCTTATTTCAGCATCCTCTAAGCAGTTTCTTCAATTAAATTGCTACCCTATACCAAACATAACCTCTAATGCACATGCGCATTTAATATTTCTTAATGGGAAATTAAAAACAGTCTATGTTCTCTTATTTTCTTTATGGTCACAGTAATGCAATTGGCAGCAATATGTTACAATTTCCTTTTCCAAAAGATGGTTTTTGTGAGGAAAATCCCTTGCGGAGAACAGTCCTAAGGTATTTAGATATAGAAAAGGTATCCATGTAGGTAAGGAGAGGCCAGTGTTGTGGTTTCACAGGTTAAACTACCTGCTATAATGCCAGCAGTCCATATGAGCACTGGTTTCATTCCAGCTTTCTATCCAGTTCCTTGCTAATGTTCCTGGGAAAATGAGAATGATTCAAGCCCATGTAAGTGGACCCAGAAGAATATCTGGGCTCGGGCTTTAGTCTGGCCAGCTATGGCCATTTTTGCTATTTAGGGAGTGAACTAGTGGATGGGAGATGTCTCTCCTCTCTGTAACGTTCATTTCAAAAAAATAGAACATTTTTACATATATGTGTGTATGTATACACACATGCATATATATGTATACACACATGTGTAAAGGAAGATTGTTAGTGACTTTAGCTGATTAATAATCGATGATATCAAACAACTCATATTGTATATTATAAAGAACCAGAATCAGAAAGTCTGTTGCACTTGGAAATTCCTGTCAATATCCATTCACTTTAACAGCAGACAGGATAGCATGAGTAATGGAAATCTACCAGGAGTGCTATTTCATCTCTTAGCTACTCCTCTCTGAGCCATCACAAAAGCAAATAAGCACTAAACTAAGTATTTATCGATATAGAATGTTCATAGCTATTTTTCTTTTGGTAATGGAATGTTGCTTTCTAGATGCTAACAAGCCATGTAAATCTCATAATTTTTTATGAGAGTATCCTGCACTAAGGAAGCCTCTTGTTCCAATTTATGGTTAAAAAGA